CTTAAAAAATGCAGACACAGATTTTTCACATGGAGAGGAAGTCAAGGTGATATAAAGAAATAAAACACTGGTACAAACTTAGAAAAATAGGGGTAAATATTAAGGTAACCACAAAGAAACTAATAATCTTACAAGTCAAAATAAAAAAACTAGAAAAATATAAAGACTCAGCAAACATAAAATCAACAACAACGAAAAAGATGAAAAGACAATACATAAAGAAAAATGACTCAGCACAAAAAATTAAGCGGAACAAAGAAACTGTGAACAACACACAAAAAAAGACATCAAAATGACAGCACTAAACTCATACCTATCAACAATTACGCTGAATGTAAATGGACTAAATGCACCAATAAAGAGACAGAGAGTGGCAGACTGGAATTGAGATGGCTGGTTCAGTTGGCAGGAATTCAACGAATTTAGGGGCTCAGTGTTCCCAGTTTCCTGATTATCTGCCCATATGCCCCCATCCCAAGTTTCAGGATCCCATTTCTTCTCAATCAATGCCCTCACTTTAACTTCAGACACCACTTGAGGCTGAGATTTCAGCTGGCATTGTAATTCAGCCCCTCTTACAACAAGACTCTGGGTCTGGTTTTTGGCGATTTCAGCTCTGTTACTACAAGAAATAGGGCTTTCTTTCAAAGCACAAGTGGAAACTTTGAGGTTGTTTATGCAGCAGTTGAGCTTTTACTCTGAAGCCCTGAGCACATCTCTTTCTTTCACTAGTTTGTCTAGCAAAAGCAGGACCAACCAACCAGCATCATTATACTTCTCTTTATGACAAAATTGTAGAAAGGTATCTAACATGTGATCACCGAGAACCTCACCTTTCGCCAATACCTAACCTATCGGTGACGGTATTTTGCAGATTTCCTTTGACACCTCACGTCATGGATTAGCAGTGCTCTCTTCACTACTGGAAGCAGAATCACCAACATCTTTAAGACTAACTAGACCTGAAAACCAATTTAGAAAACTCATTCTTACGATTTTGTTTCTTTAGAACCACTCTTGGTACCAAATGTCTTAGGCTGGGTTCTCTAGAAAAGCAGAACCAGTAAGGTGTATAAATATAGATAGATAGATAGATGAGATAGATTAGACTGGATAAGACAGATTAGATAGATAGATAGATTTATATTAAGGAAATGGCTCGCACAGTTATAGAGGCTGGAACATCCCAAGTCCGTGGGTCAGGCGGGAAGCTTCTTCTGATTCACGTAGTCACAGGGGTTGGCAAACCCAAGATTGGCAAGTCAGACAACAGGGCTCTGGCTCACAGGCTGTGAAGACCCACGATTCCCAAGATTGGTAGAGAAGACAGCAGGTAAGCTGCTAGCTCAAGTCTCAAAAACTGGAAGTCTGATGAACAGGAGCTGGCTGTGGGATCCACTGCAAGCAAAAGCCTACGAGCCTTGCCAGAAAGTTCACCTATATTGGATGCAGGCCACACCCCCAAGGAAACTCCTTTCAACTGACTGGCTACTCACAGCAGATCCCATCATGGAGGTGTGATCACACTATATCAAATCTCATCATGGAGGTGATCACATCAGTATATGACTGCCAAACTACATCATAACTGCCAAACCACTGAGAATCATCGCCCAGCCGAGTTGACACACAACCTTAATCATCACTAAGACCAAAGGGTCAACAGCTATTTTAAAACTGGGTTGGAGTGAATTACTTAATATGGCCCTTCCAGCCAGTTTGTAACTCCCACCAAGTGACTGGGTGGGACTACGTAAATGAGGTGCTTGTGGCCCACTAAGGGGATTAGATAGCTTTCTAATAAAGTAAATAAAGTGCATGGTACACTTGCAGGAGTGGGACCATGCAGATAGGTGTGTGGAACCCTAAGAAGGGGATTGGTCAGTTCTGCCATCCTGCTAGGCTTAAAGAGAGACACAGAGAGAGAGAAAGGAGGGCTGTAACACAGAAGACAGCAAGACGGTGGCACAGCAAGAGCAAGAGCGGCATGAGACAGTGGGAACCGGGGACAAGATGGCTGTAGGGCCCATGTAGCTAAAGGTTGCAATACTTGCCCAAGAAGGCCCCTAGCAGGGCCTGGCAGCAGAGGGCAAAAAGAAGCTGCTCTGATCAAGGAACTTCATCCTGAGTTGCTCAATCCAGATCCTGAATTGTACCCTGTTAGTTCTCTAATAAACCACTTAACCGGAAGTACGGTTCATGAGTTCTGTGAGACGTTGCAGTGAATTACCGAACTCAAAGACGGAAGGGAGAGCAGTTGATGTTAGAGATGATGGAGTGGTACAGCAGTTTGGAAAAGTTGGATATTTGGGATATCTTTAACCTCCACTTCACAGAAACCAGAAATTATTCATTTAACAGCACAGATGAGAAGGTTCAGGGACAGGGAGAGTAAGTAAATGGGAGTGAAACAACTACAACAGAAATGAGAATATTGATACAAATGTGAATAATGCAACCAATGTCACTGATCATTATGTTTTGAAAGTGAGTAATGGGAGTAGGTTTTGCTGTGTATATTTTCACCAAAAATAATACTAAAAAAAAACAAACAAAAAAAAACAGCTCTCTCAACTCAATGGGGACGAAAAGGTGTTTACTAAATAAAGGGTATTGGGATAACTAGCTAGTTTGGGGATACATCAAAATAAATTCCAGATGAATCAAAGGCTTAATTAAATTTAAACATACATAAAAGCACTGAAAGTAAAGTATATATTTACAATGTATATCACAGTCAAAAAGCCAAATTCTTCAATATAGGAAGAGCTCTTGCAAACAAACAGAACAGATTACAAGCGAAAAAAAAAAAGGTGCATGAAAAGGCATTGCTCAGAAGAAAAACTAAAATGGTCAATAAACATAAAAATGTTTAAAATGCTATCTTTATTAAAGAATTATGAATGAAAACATGATGAAATTGCAACAGAAACGGACTATTACAATACGTAAAGTAAATGATACACTATTATGTAGAATGTAAATGAATGCAACCTTCTTGGAAAGCAATTTGACAATTAGCTATCAAAATTTCAAATATATATACAGTTTTGCCCAGCAGTTATATTCTAGATATTCAGCCTTCAAATAAAGTTACACAGGAACACAAAGTTCTATGGGTATAGGATCATTTTTCCAGGTGTCTGCACGATGCCGAGGGTATATTCTTAAATCACTGCTGGATGAATGAATTACAGCATTGTTTGATATAAAAAAAATAAGTGGTACTGGTAATGGCCTCAGTGTCTATCAACAGCAAATTGGTTTAGTAAATTACAGTATAGTTATATAGTGGAATACTGTGCAGCAGCTAAAAATAATGAAGTACAGCTACATCCGTGTATGTATTTCTGGAAGGGTACATAATAAGCAGTTATCAGTCACTATCACCCACCGGGGAACGGAACTGGGATGGGGCAGAGAAGATAATACTTTTACATTTCATCTTATTCCTCTCCTTTCTGTATTGAGAATTTTTTTTTTACTAAAAACATATATTACAGTTTTACAATGAAATACAAGATAATGAAAATCCACTGTGTTAGGGGAAATTTTCAAATAAAAATATTTTAACAAATAGTTTTATTTTTAGAAAATTGTCCAAAAGGGTTGCTGTCTTTTAATGAACTAATGGATAATGCACACAATTATGAAAGATTCTATGCTAAAATAAAACTTATACTGGAGTAAACTTTTTTCTTGCTATCTTTTCGGTCCTATAGTATTTCCTTTGGATTAGAAACCATGTTCAGTCAGAATCATTTTGCTGGCCCAGATATTTCCTCTTCTGGATGCTCATGGGGAGAGTCAATAAAAAACTATAGAGAAAACAAGAAGTTTCAACAGTGATTCTTAAAATTGAGTGTACATAATAATTACCTGGGGAACTTGTTAAATATATAGATTCGTATAATCCATCTCCAGAAAATCTGAGTAAACAAGTCTGGGTTAGGGTCTGGAATTTGCCTTTTGTTTTTGTTTGTTTTAAAAAGCAGCGCCAATAATTGAGATGTGGGTGATCTAGGAAAATAACAGTCCCTGAACAACAATGCAACTTCCAGGGATTTCAGCGACCTAAGGTTCTTTGTAGAATCCACTGGCTGTTAAGAACTGCTCAGGAGTACCTGTGTGTTTAGGCTAACTTTGGCCAGTATTATCCTACTGATAAAACAATTTTGGTCAGATTTCCTTCTAACTCACAGCCACTTTCTACGTGACTGCTGATCATCAAGTTATTGAACATCCTCCCAGATAGGCAACAGGTATGTGTCCTAATGGGCTACTGAGAAGATAGATGAGGTGACAAGAACTGGGTGAAGAAATCTAGGTTGACAGGTTCATAGGCAGTCAATAGAAGCAGTAAGGTAAAATAATGGCTCCCCAAAGTCCATGCATTAATCCCTGGCACTTTGAATAGTTATATTACTTGGCAAGGGGAATTATGGTTGCAGATGGACCTAGGATTGTTAATCAGCTAACCTTAAAATAAGATTATCCTGGTGGGCCCAATGTAATCACAAAAACCTGTTGCTGTTGAGTCAATTCCAGCTCATGATGAACCCATGTGTTATAGCGTAAAATTGCTCAATGGGTTTTTTTCTTGGCTGTAATCATTATAGAAGCAGATCACCAGGTCTAGTGTAGTGTAATCACACTTTAAATATAGAAGAGAAGCAGAAAGTCAAGAGTCTAGACTGTTTCTTGCTGGCTTTCAAGATGGAAAGGAGCCACAAGCTGAGGAATGAAAGCAGCCACTAGAAGCTGGAAAATGCAAGGAAACAGATTCTTCCCCTAGAGCCTCTAGAAGGAATGCAGCTCTGCTGACATTTTGATTTTAGTCCAGTGAGACCCATTTCAAACTCTAACCTCCAAAACTGTAAAATAATACATCTGTGTTGTTTTAAGCCACGAACCTTGTGGTAATTTGTTACACTAGCAATAAGAAACTACTGCACATACTAACAAATTAACTGTTTAAAAAGAAACTAGATTTTTCTTACCTATATCCATTGGTCGTTCTGTATTTAAGCTGTCCGTGCTACCCTGATGCAGCTGCCCACCTAAGGGTGTCTTTATTTGTTGGTCTGATAATTTCCCTGTACTGACAGATCTAAAAAGAACAGTGATGTTAATAATGGAAAAGTACACTTAAAAATGAAATCCTTGACAACTTCAATATTTTCTCCATTTATCATGATGTTGCTTATTGGTCCAGTTGTGAGGATTTTTGTTTTCTTTAGGTTGTGTAATCCATACTGAAGTGCTTCAAGTCCTCTTTGTTTTCGGCAAGCGAGGTTGTGTCATCTGCATAACGCAGGTTGTTAATGAGTCTTCCTCCAATCCTGATGTCCCATTCTTCTTCATATAGTCCAGCTTCTCGGATTATTTGCTCAGCATACAGACTGAAGAAGTATGGTGAAAGGATACAACCTGGATGTACATCTTTCCTGATAAGCAACATCATGACAAATGGAGAAAATATTGAAGTTGTCAAAGATTTCATTTTACTTGGATCCACAATCAACACCCATGGAAGCAGCAGTGAAGAAATCAAACAACACATTGCGTTGGGAAAATCTGCGGCAAAAGATCTCTCTAAAGTATTAAAAAGCAAAGATGTCACTTTGAGAACTAAGGTGCACCTGACCCAAGCCATGGTGTTTTCATTTGCCTTATATGCATGTGAAAGCTGGACAATGGATAAGGCAGACTAAAGAAGAATTGATGCCTTTGAATTACAGTGTTGACAAAGAATATTGAATATACCATGGACTGCCAGAAGAATGAACAAATCTGTCCTGTCTTGGAAGAAGTACAGCCAGAATGCTCCTTAGAAGCAAGGATGGTGAGACTTCGTCTCATGTACTTTGGACATGTTATCAGGAGGGACCAGTCCCTGGAGAAGGACATCATGCTTGGTAAAGTAGAGGGTCAGTGAAAGAGAGGAAAACCCTCAATGAGATGGACTGACACAGTGGCTACAACAATGGGCTCAGACATAGCAACCACTGTGAGGATGGCACGGAACCGGGCAGTGTTTTGTTCTGTTGTACACAGAGTTGCTGTGAATTCGAACTGACTCGGCAGCACCTAACAACAACAACACACTTAAGGGTTAATGAGAAGCCAGAGAACAGGGAGACAAAAAATAGATACCAAACAATTTAAGGCAGAGATAAACTTCAATAACCAAAATAAACAAAAAGCAGAAACAGTTACAGGAAGCATCTGTGGTTTTCAGAGATTCTAAATGTATACAGTTCATATCATGAACCATAAGCCACAAGCCAGTTACTAAACTAATTTGGTCCAGTTGTATTTATGATAGGAATATACATGCTATTACACTTTTCACATTTAATGCTAGAAAGGAACAGAGTCTCTTACCTGCCAAACACTGTCTTGTTCTGCTGTTCAGCCCTCTGCCTCTCACCTCCTTGTACTGGGAGACAATGAGAGCATTCCCGTGGGTCATTTCCATCTCTGGATTGCCCTTCAGATGGCCCCTGACGAGTGACCAAGGCTAACAGGTTGGAAGACGCTTGTGTTTTAGGGATTTTGAAAGGCGCTATGGTCTAAAGAAAGATGTAAAATAGTTAATACAATGCATGAAATTTGCAAAATTATAAACTTTGGAGTCAGTCAGACCTGGATTCAAATATTGGCTCTTCTACTTACAGCCTGTGTGATCCTGGACAGTGCATTTAAGATCTCTAAGTCTCAATTTTCTTTTCTAATTAATAGGGACAATAATAGTACCTACCATCAGAGTGTTATTTTGAGGATTAAATGGGACAATGCATACAAAACACTCAGTAAGTTCTCACACTGTGCCTAGCACACAGTAAGTGCTCATTAAATTACACTTATTCTCATCAAGAATCCTTTCCATAAAGTACTATACTAGTTCATGACCTACAAAAGGGTTTAACCAACACACCTTAGTAGGAGAGCCAATGATTGTTGGTAAAGTAGTTTTAAAGAACCAGTCAGAACTCCGTGGAGAGGATCCCATGTGCTTGGTGGGAGAGGCTCCCAGGCTGCCAGGCCGACTGGGCTGAGGGGAGTAGCTGTACCCAGCCCTGGCATGAGAGGGGCACACAGGGTCAGAGTGCTGCTTTCTGAGCTTCTGCTTGTTCTGGTAGATGTCGGTGAGGGTGGGGGTGCTCTGCAGTCTAGCACCCAGTAAGAGAGACTGTGGTGACTGAGCCTGTGGCACTGGAGAACCTACCAAGAAAATGAATGCAGTATTAACTCAAAGTGAAGAAGCATAGGGCAAAATATTATGACTTAAAAAGATAATTTTTAAAATAAGAATTCTGATGAATGTCTTATTTTTTATGAGGTATTCTAAAAATCGTTAACTTGGTGAGAGACTATTTTGTGACATCTTTTACAAAACAATGATAGTAAGTACATTGTCTTTGGTATTCTCAGAAGACAGAACTTCATGATGATAGGTATATCAGCAGTTTTTATCAGCAGCTCCCAAATAACCCAGATTAGTGTAAGGTCTGATTAGCACCAAAGAGAACAATATAGTTAATAGTTAATGAAAACAACAAATGCCTATACTGAATGAATATGATTTCTACTCTATAAAAAAATACATAAGTGGATATACCAATGCAATTTATCTCTTTTCACACATAGTAACTAAAAGAAACTTTCAAGCTAACCCAGAATAACCCCCATTCAAATAAACAAAACAAAAACACATTAAATGCAGGGGATAAGATCAGGAAGATACCATGCCATTCCTGGATTTTACTTTGTCTAAAAATAACAAGCATACGGATATTTTATCTATTTTGTCAGTGTCATTAATGACATTTAAAACTTGAAGTATCCATGTTCTTTACAAAGAAAACATCTGGCTACAAATATTCTTGATTCCTAAGGAGACACCATATCAAGAGCCTAGGAGACAGGACCCCCTTTCCCAGCACAAATCTGTTGTTGCCAACCTAAGATCCACAAAGCCCTGAATTTCAGTTACAAATTCTTTGGAGTTTCTTGAAAGTCAAACTACCACCAATCATGTTAAGACCTCCAAATATTTTTAGTGACCTAATCATCATCCTGGAGCCCTGGTGGCATACTGGTTAAGAGCTCTGCTGCTAACCAAAAGGTCCAAAGCTCGAATCCACCAGCTGCTCCTTGGAAACCCTATAGGGCAGTTCTACTCTGTCCTACAGGGTACCTGTGAGTTGGAATTGACTCAATGGCAATGAGTGTGGTTTGTTTTTACCATCATCTAAAGGAACTCTGGTGGCGCAGTGGTTAAGGACTCGGCTGCTAACTGAAAGGTCAGCAATTCGAACCCACCAGTCACGCTGAGGGAGAAAGATGTGACAGTCTGCTTCTGCAAAGATTACAGCCTTGGAAACCCTATAGGGTTGCTATGAGTCGGAATCAACTTGATAGCAGTTTGTTTGGTTTGGTTTTTTAACTATCATCCTTCAGAAGTATCATCAGAACTCTGTTCTGCCCTTCACAGAAATAACTAAAATTAGTGGCAAAATGTTGTGACCTGGAGAAAGCTATTTAAGCTATATTTTAAAGAAAACACAGAATATAAAAAACTAAATTTAGAAGAGCATGCTTTTCTAAATAACACAGGATTCCTTTAATTGGCCCACACCTCAAACACACATACAATAGAATCTGACTTATAAAAGTGTTATTTACACATACCTTTTCAGGCATATATACATAAATAAATAAATATATATATATATATGCACATATACATACATAAACACGTGTTATATATAACAAAGCAAATAACCACCTGTATTTCTTTTTTATCTGATGCTGACTGGTAGCTTTTAACAAGAATAGTTTTAATCAAAATAATGAAATCTCATTTTCTAGATTGATTTTCATTATCTACATGACAATAACCAAAATTTAGCTTAAGTTATTTAATTCATAAGATTTATTTTCATAAAGGAATCATAAACCCAAAAGGATATATTAAGTTAGCTGTATGATATGCTAAAACATACTAGACCAAAATTCTAAAAAACACGATAGCAGAGGAAATATTTCATATTAATACTATTCTTTTGATAAGACTAGAAAAACAGAATTCATCCATTTAAACTGAATTAAGATTATTAATACACCAAATACGTTCCCCTACCTGAGGAGTTTCTACTCCTGGATTCATGGACGTGAGGATGCCCACAGCAGCACTGACTAAATTGCTCAGGAATAGTACCAACTATGGAAGATGGGGAAAGGAAGGAGAAATTATTTAAAACCAACAAAAGACAGAAGCAATCAACACATGCACAATTGTACAGTATACCACAGTTCACAAAATTTTAATTAGGATAGATTTAGTTCAAGAAACACTTAGTGAGCAACTACTGTGCTGTGTGCTGGGCACATAAGACTAGAAAAACAAAACAAAAAATATACCCTGCCTTGAAACAAGATCATTAGGAAAGAAAGTTACATAAACCAATAAATATCTGAAACGGGTATATGTAAAAGACAGAGAAAGAGGATAAAGAGTGATAAAGTGCTTCGGTGTTGTGGTAGACCTCAAATGAGCCTGCTACAGGGAGCTCATTGGACTACTAGCCCAGCTGAAGCCCCTCTGGAGCCACCACATTAGCAGCGAAGCCAGAATTCCCTCAGACTGCTGCAGTCAATGGCTGAGAATCGTGGGGGCACAAATTCAGACCCAACCAGGCAGGTCAGGGAATTCTAACAGATAACTTAGGGCCTGGGGATGCCCCACCAGTCTGGCCAGTTTTCTTAGAATTCAGCTATAGTCTGAAACTCTTTCTGCCCAATTATCCTTTATTCCCCTCCCTGCTTTACACAGGTGCCAGACCTGCATATTGCTCCAGAGGGTCTCCCTGCCTACTCCTGCTCTCTCTCCCTTTATCCTTCACAGTTATTAACCCCAATAAATCTCCTACACATCTAATCTAATCATGAGAGTTGGGGAAGGCTTCAAGAAGCTTAAACAGATAAGAGGCATGTGTCTATAAAAAGAAGGGGCACTGACCAAGTTATCAGGTTGGCAGACAAAGGTTAGATCCTGAAGACTGGCCTTTTCCTTCAGTGCAAGAATAAGATTTGGACTATGTCTTTGGCGATGTCTCAGGGGCTGCTACAGGGGTGAAAGAGGGCCAAGATTTTGTCTGAAGAAGCTAAAAACAACTTCAAAACCACTGGAACAGGTGTTCTGGTGCTTCAAACTTTTTTTTTAAGTTATAATTGTTTTGTTTTGATAGGCGTCCTGGGCTTCAATGCTTCTCTCTGTGCCCCCGTCTGAAATTTATCCCTATTAATCTAAGTAATACTCCAGAAGTGTCGATCAGGGTGGATTCTTCTCCTTTTAGAAGTGAATATTTTTCACAGTTTTGAGATCTGCCACATCTAGGCTTTCAGCTCTGCCACCACTAGGCCTTATCTGCACTACCTCTTCTGCCCACCACATTAATGTTGCTTCTCACCTCAGATTCCGCAGTCCCAGTTGTGCTGGCCTCTATCACATGTATTCTGACAGTTGAGTATTTTCTTTGGCTCTTAGTTTCACTGAAGATGTGGTTTGTGGTTTTTGTTTGGTTGAGTTTTTTGTTTTTGTTTTACAACTGGAGGACACAACCTAAACTCATGCACAACAAAATGAAATGCTGATCGGTCCTGTGCCATCCCTATGATCAGCTGCAGATTGGACCACTGTGATTCATAGGTTTTTTCTTTTTTTAAAAAAAAAACATATAATTTTATTTACTTTGTTGTTGTTACTGGAAATATACACTGAAAAAAATCATACACTAATTCAACAGCTTCTACATGTACCATTTAGTGACACTGATTATACTCTTTGAGTTGTGTAACCATCTCACCCTCTTGTCTTAGGCTGGGTTCTCTAGAGAAGCAAAACCATCAAGTGTATATATATACAGAGAGAGAGAGAGAGAAAGATTTATATTAAGGATATGGCTCACGTGGTTATAGAAGCTGGAACGTCCCAAGTCCATGGATCAGGTTCATGTAGCTGCAGGGGCTGGTGAACCCAAGATCGGCAAGTCAGACGGCAGGGCTCTGGCTCACAGGCTGTAAAGACCCGCGAATCCCAAGATCGGCAGGCAAGACCACACGTAAGCTGCCAGCTCAAGTCCCAAGAACCGAAGGTGAGACGAACAGGAGCCAGTTGCAGGATCCAAGCCCATGAGCCTTGCCACAAAGTCCAGCTATACTGGATGCAGGCCACACCCTCAAGGAAACTGCCTTTCAGCTGGCTACTCACAGCAGATCCCATAATGGAAGTGATCACATTATATCTAATCTCATCATGGAAGTGACCACATCATTATATGACTGCCAAACCACATCATAATTGCCAAACCACTGAGAATCATGGCCTAGCCAAGTTGACACACAACCTTAACGATCACACCCTCCTATTCTGAGTTGTTTCTCCCCCATCAACATAAATTCACTGCCCCCTTTTGAGTTGCTGTTGTCAATTGGATTCTATACAGATAGTTCTTAAAAGAGCATAATGCTCAAGGCAGACATTTTTTACTAGTTAAGCTAAACTACTGTTTGGTTTTAAGAAGAATTCAGAGGAAATTTTTGGTTTAAAGCTTAAAGATCATCTCAGGGCAGCAGTTTCAGAGGTTCATCCAACCTTCATGGCTCCAGGAGTCTGGAGTTCATGAAAATTTTAGATTCTGTTCCACATATTCCCCCTTTTGATCAGGATTCTTCCATGGAATCTTTGACCAAAATGTTCACTAATGGTAACCAGGCACTAGCAATTCCTCTGGTCTCATGGCAAAGGAGGCAGTTGTTCATGGAGGCAATTAGTCACACACTCCATGTTGTTGTTAGGTGCCGTCGAGTCAGTTCTGACTCATAGCGACCCTAGGTGGAACAGAACAAAACACAGCCTGGTCCTGCGCCATGCCCACAATTGTTATGCTTGAGCCCATTGTTGCAGCCACTGTGTCAATCCATCTCGTCGAGGGTCTTCCTCTGTTTTGCTGACCCTCTACCTTATCAAGCATGATGTCCTTCTCCAGGGACTGGTCCCTCCTGATAACATGTCAGAAATACATGAGAAGTCTCACCATCCTCACTTCTAGAGCATTCTGGTTGTACTTCTTCCAAGACAGATTTGTTCATTCTTCTAGCAGTCCATGGTAGATTCAATATTCTTCACCAACACCACAATTCAAAGGCATCAATTCTTCCTCGGTCTTCCTTATTCACTGTCCAGCTTTCACATGCACATGAGGTGACTGAAAACACCATGGCTTGGGTCAGGCACACTTTAGTCCTCAGAGTGACATCTTTGCTTTTTAACACTTTAAAGAGGTTCTTTTGCAGCAGATTTTCCCAATGCAATATGTTGTTTGATGTCTTCACAGCTGCTTCCATGGGCATTGATTGTGGATCCAAGTAAAATGAAATCCTTGACAACTTCAATATTTTCTTCATTTATCATGATATTGCTTATTGGTCCAGATGTGAGGGTTTTTGCTTTCTTTATGTTGAGCTGTAATCCATACTGAAGGCTGTGATCTTTGATCTTCATCAGTAAGTGCTTCAAGACCTCTTCACTTTGAGCAAGCAAGGTTGTGTCATCTGCATATCACAGGCTGTTAATGAGTCTTCCTCCAATCCTGTCACTCTATTATTCTGCATATAGTCCAGTTTCTCAGATTATTTGCTCAGCATACGAATTAAGTACGGTAAAAGGATACAACCCTGATGCACACCTTTTCTGATTTCAAACCACGCAGTATACCCTTGTTCTATTCAAAGGAGTGCCTCTTGGTCTATGTACAGATTCCTCATGAGCACAATTAAGTGTTCTGGAATTCCCATTCTTTGCAATGTTATCCATAATTTGTTATGATCCACACAATCGAACAGCTTTTCAGAGTCAATAAAACACAGGTAAACATCTTTCTGGTATACTCTGCTTTTAGCCAAAATCCATCAGACATCAGCAATGATTACACCTCTTTCCACGTCCTCTTCTGAATCTGGCTTGACTTTCCAGCAGTTCCCTGTCAATATACTGCAGCAACTGCTTTTGAATGATCTTCAGCAAAATTTTACTGTGTGTGATATTAATGATATTGTTCAATAATTTTCACATTCTGTTGGATCACCTTTCTTTGGAATGGGCACAAATATGGATCTCTTCCAATCAGTTGGTCAAGCAGCTATCTTCCAAATTTCTTGGCAAAGACAGGTGAGCATCTCCAGTGCTAAATCCTCTTCCTATTCCTGACTCTCCTTCTTCCTCTGTTGGTCCAGGTGAATAGAGATCAATTGTTGTGCCTTGGATGGCTGCATGCAAGCTTTTAAGATTCTAGACACTACACGTCAAACTAGGAGGTAGAACAGAGGCGCTGAACATTTTACTAGGACAATTAACTGGGATGTCCCATGAAACCATGACTCTAAATCTCCAAACCAAGGAATCAAATCCTATGAGGTTGCTGGTTTTACAAAAATCAGCCTTAGCAGCTACTCTTTCCTTTTTCTTTTGTCATTGTTTTAATTATATATATCACACAACTTTTTAAAAGTATACAACTTATTGACAGCAAGTATAATCAGCAACCCTACCCTTAATCAACACGGTATCTCCATTGCCGTTAACCTCACCTATCCCCCCCTCTCCCGCACCTGGTAATCACTAATAAACTTGGTTCTTTATACATTTGTGTTTTCCTGTTTTTTTTTTTTTTTTTAATATAAGTGAAGTCATACGACATTTGTCCTTTTGTGATTGATTCTTTCACTCAGCATAATGTCTTAAAGCTTCATCCATACTATCGCATAAACCAAGACTTCATTTCTCCTACTGGCTGAGTAGTATTCCATTGCATGTATGTACCACATTTTGTTTATCCATTCATCTGTTGATGGCATTTAGGTTTTGTCCACATTTTGGCTACTGTGAATAGTGCTGCAGTGAACACTGGTATACAAGTCTCCATTTGAGTCTCCGATTTCAAGTCTTTTGGGTATATACCCAGGAGTGGAATTGCTGGGTGATAATTGTAGTTCCGTTTTTAGTTTTTTTAGCAACCACCACACTCTTTTCCACATCAGCTGTATCATTTTTTATCACCACCAGCAACGGGTAAGAGTTCCAATTTCCCCACATCCTCATCCACATTTGCTGTTTTTTTTTTTTCATCTTAGCCATTCCAGTGGGAGTGAAATGTTATCTGATTATGGTTTTGTTTTACATCTCTCTGATGAAATGTCTATTCAAGTCCTTTTCCCAATTTATGATTGGATTGTCTTTTTGTTGTTGTCGAAGTTTTAAATATATTTTGGTTATTAGGTTCTTGTTGGATATATGGTTTCCGAAAATATTCTCCCAGTGGGTAGACTGTCTTTTCACTTTTTTGGTAAAGCCCTCTGATGAACAAGTTTTTTATTTTTATGAGGTCCCATTTATTTATTTTGTCTTTCACTGTTTGTGCTTTTTTTTTTATTACATTAGATAATCCATTGTTAAAAGGCCCAGCAGTGCTGCCCCTACTTGTTATTCTAAGATTTTATGGTTTTAGTTAGCACATTAGGTCCTTAATCCATTTTAAATTTCTTTTTCTGCATGTGAGGCATGGATTTGTTTCATTTTTTTGCATGTGGAAATCCAATTTTCCCAGCACTATTTATTGAGGAGACTCTTTTTTCACCATCAAATGGACTTAGCACCCTTGTCAAAAATCAGTTGAGCACAGATGTGAGGGTTTATTTCTGGACTCTCAGTTCTATTTCATCGGTCTATGGGTCTACTGTTATACCAGCACCAGGCTGTTTTCATTACTGTAGCTATACAGTATGTTTTAAAATCAGGAAGTGTAAGCGCTATTCCTTTGTTCTTCTCTTTCAACCTTGCTTTAGCTATTTGGGGCCTCCTGCTATTCCATATGAAGTTGAGGACTGGTTTTTCTATTTCTGTAAGGAAGGCTGTTGGAATTCTGATCAGGATTGCATTCAGTATATAGATTGCTTTGGCTAGCACTGACATCTTAACAACATTAACTCTTCCAATCCATGAACACTAAACATCTTTCCACTTATTTAAGTCTTCTTTAATCTCTTCCATCAGTGTTTTATAGTTTTCATGTCTCTGGTTAAATTTATTCTTAAGTATTTTATTCTCTTATATGCTACTGTAAATGGAACTGTTTCCCTAATTTTCCTTTCAGATTTCTCATTGCTGGTGTATAAAAACCCAACTGACTTTTGTTTGTTGACCTTGTACCCTGCAACTTTGCTAAATTCCTCTATTAGCTCTAGAAGTTTTCTTGTAGAGTCTTTGGGATTTTCTATATATAGGATCATATCATCTGCAAATAGAGATAATTTTACTTCTTCTTTTTCAATCTGGATACCTGTTATTTCTCTTTCTTGTCTTACTGCTCTAGGTAGGACTTCTAATACAATACCAAATAGAAGTGGTGAGATTGGGCACCTTTCTCTTATTCCCGATTTCAAGGGGAAGGCTCTCAGTCTTTCTCCATTAAATATAATGTTGGCTGTTGGCTTTTCATATATGCCCTCAATCATATTGAAGGATTTTCCTGCTATTCCAATCTCCTTTGAGGTTTTCATCAAGAAAAGGTGATGGATTTTATCAAATGCTTTTTCTGCATCCATAGTTGACCATGTGGTTCTTTTCCTTTGTTCTATTGATGTGATATGTTACATTGATTGATTTTATAATGTTGAACCATCTCTGCATTCCTGGAATAAATCCCACTTGGTCGTAGTGTATGACTCTTTTAATATGCTGTTGGATTCTGTTTGCTAGTATTCTGCTGAGGATTCTTGCATTTACATTCATAAGAGATATTGGCCTGTAATTTTCTTTTCTTGTGGTGTCTTTATCTGGTTTGATAAAGAATTAATTAGGGAGTAGTCCTTCCTTCTCTATCTTTTGGAAGAGTTTAAACAGTATTGATGTCAGTTCCTTTCTAAATGTTTGGCAGAATTCCCCAGTGAAGCCATCTGGTGCAGGACTTTTTTTTTTGTTGGGAGGTTTTTGATCTCTGATTTGATCTCTTCATTTGTTACGGGTTTGGTTGGGTTTTTGTTGTTTGCTTTTGGTTTCCTTGTTTTAACATTCTCCTTGTTGCCGTATACGGTTTCCAGGAGAAGTGGGGAGATTTGTAACTAAGCTCCTACCATATTCCTACTAGAGCTGGTAGGTGCTGGTGAACTTAGTCCAGTGCCTATTGTATTCTAATTCTCACAAATCTGAGTGATAAGTAGATAGACATTTTATGCACCTTAACCTAAGGTTTATGACTTTGAGTTTAGAGCCCAAACCCAATGGAGATGCTTTTTGTACATAAAATCCATTTATATTCTTTTATTTCTAATAGAAGTCCTAACAGATTTATCCAGTGAGTCTCAAGAGGGAGTTGGGAAGTACATCAATGGAAACAAAACACCTAGAATGGAAATATTGAGAATGTTCACGCATTGTGAAGAATGTAAATAATGCCACTGAACAATCGTGTAGAAACTGTTGAATGGGAACCTAAACTGCTATGTAAACCTTCACTGAAAACATAGTAAAATATTATTTAAAAAAAAAAAGGAGTTGGGAGTAGGGTAGTGAGAAGGATGTGCTAAGGCCTCCAATCAGCTAAAAATCACTGCCATCATGGGATACTGTTCCTAAAGGGAGTGTGTCATGTCAGCTTTGATGCAGTGAAAAAAAGGAAAACAACTGCTATAAACTCTCCTTACCCAAAGGGGAAGGTGAATAAGGCCTGGAAGACCCAGTAGAGAGTCTTCGTCCGACTGTTTGTACTGGGTCTGCTGGCACTGGAGTGCAGGATCCCAGCCGGCGGAAGCCCAATGGGCTGGTATTAGACCTTCGTACAACTGCAGATCTGAAAAGAAAAACAAAATTACCCAATTTAAGGGAATCACCCTATTCACTAAACATGCTGAAATGACCTTCTCTTATTATTTCTAACCACTCTTTCAAATATGAGACCTGTATTAAAAACTAATTTCCTCAACAGATGATCAGTTTCCCTCTGAGATTTTTATTTACCTATTACTTATACCTCCACCTTATTCAAAAGATGATTTGAGAAACAATTTTGTGATAACATTCAACTGACAGTTAAAAAGAAAAGCTTCCTTTTGTCTGTGAAATAAGCATCACTGAAGCAGAGAATTCGAAAGATGCCATAAGAAACCTGACAGAGTACAGATGATATTCTAACACATGGCAATAGTGACAGAGAAAAGGGCTAAAAGAACTGACTTCAGTCAGGCTAATTCAGTCTCTAAAGAAATCACACAATCTATCATTTCCTCAGCATTATATTACCAAATCATATTATATATTCCAAAACCAAATCGATGTCCAGCAGCTTTCAGCTAATTAGTATACTATGCCAGGATGAGAATTAAACTCTCACCCCAGTGAAATATTTAATCATCCTCTTTCAGGGTTTTTGGATCAATCAATCAACACGTACATACCAAACACCACGTATCCAGAGTTATAAAATGTAGTATAAAGAAGAGAGTGCTGCCACATTGTGGGGAACGAAATCAGTGTCATCGAAAACTATCGAATGAGAAATTAATTTGCTCTGTAAACTTTCACCTAATGCACAATAAAATTTTTTTTTCTTTTTAAATACACTATAAGGGATACAAGAGAAGAATAAGTGGCTTTTTCTTTTTTTTAACATTTCCTTTTCTAATGTTACTTTTTACCCAAGTTAATATATACACAGTTTAAAAATAAAAAAGCACTACAAAGATTGAACAAGTCAATAATCCTTTGTTGCAAGCCTGAAATCAAAAAAGCTTTAAAATTCAAAGGTCTTTTCATACATCTTTTGGTGACAAAATCTGACCAGATCTGAAACCATCTGCAGTAAATTCTGTCCTGAATATAAGCCATTATAATTTTTATCCCTTTAGTGTGAATATGCATACTGAAAATGAATTAATGGGTTTGCCTCCACTGGAGGTATTCTATGATATACAGTACATACTATAATATATCCCTTTCTAAAACCTGAGGAATTCTGATTTCTGAAACCTATCTAGCACCATAGGCTTCTGATAGAAATGACTGTGACCCATAATGGAAAAAACAACAGTTCCCTGTAATACACTTCTTGTACTGCCCTAGTCCTATTGTTCATAAAATATTACCTGGCACGGTCATAAACAACATTTACGATTCTAAATCTTGATTATAGATTTCACTGATAATAGGGCAATAACTTCATTGAGAGGATGAGAGTGGAGCGGGAATTGGCACTGTTGTTGTTAGGTGCCATCAAGTCGGTTCCAACTCATAGCAACCCTGTGCACAAAAGAACAAAACACTACCCCGTCCTGCACCGTCCTCATAATTGTTATGTTTGAGCCCATTGTTGCAGCCACTGTGTCAATCCATCTCATTGAGGGTCTTCCTCTTTTTTGCTGACCCTGTACTTTACCAAGCATGATGTCCTTCTCTAGGGACTGATCCTTCCTAACAACATGTCCAAAATATGTAAGACATAGTGTCGACATCCTGGCTTCTAAGGAGCATTCTGGTTGTACTTCTTCCCAGACAGACTTGTTCGTTCTTTTGGCAGTCCATGGTATATTCAATATTCTTCGCCAACACAATTCCAAGGCGTCAATGCGTCTTAGGTCTTCCTTATTCATCGTCCAGCTTTCACATGCATATGAGGCGAATGAAAACATCATGGCTTGGCTCAGGCACACCTTAGTCTTCAAGGTGACATCTTCACTTCTCAACACTCTAAAGAGGTCTTTTGCAGCAGATTTGCCCAATGCAATGCGTCTTTTGATTTCTTGACTGCTGCTTCCACGATGTTGACTGTGGATCCAAGTAAAATGAAATTCTTGACAACTTCAATCTTTTCTCCATTTATCATGATGTTGTTTATTCGTCCAGTTGTAAGGATTTTTGTTTTCTTCATGTTGAGGTGTAATCCATACTGAAGGCTGTGATCTTTGATCTTCATCAGTGTTTCGAGTCCTCTTCACTTTCAGCAAGCAAGGTTAGGTCAACTGCATAACGCAGGTCTGTCAATAAGTCTTCCTCCAAAAACTGGCATAGGAGCTAATTCTTCATCTATCATACAGAAAGTGAATGGGTAATACTTCAAATTGATTATTTTATAAACAGTACAAGAGGCATATTTAAAACTATGGAGGTACTGTGTTTTTACACAAATAACGTGCACCTTCTGCATTTGTCTGCTAGCCACTCTCTCCCCCTGTGAAGTATTTTCATAAGCATGCTATGCTAATTTTTTTGGTAAAATATTCCTCTCAGATCTGCCATCTACCTACATTTATTATTTTCTGGTAGGACTCCATCACAGCACAGAGTCTCTCCAAGTCTCCCCCTTCTTTTCTGGAAACCTTTCTTTGAAGCTCCTCCTCTGTCCTCCTGTTCCAATCTGGTTATATACAAGACCTCCACGGCTGTCATCCTGGGGCATCTACTTACTGCTCTCCTGCTTGGTGTATCTTTTTCCATCCTTTTACTTTCAATCTATTATATGTCTTCAAATCTAAAGTGTGCCTTTTGTAGACAGTATATATTTGGATACTGCTTTTGTATGTAATCTGACAAGCTTTGCCATTTGAATGCAGTGTCTAGCTCATTCACATTTAATGTCATTACTGACATGGCTTCTCTGTGAGTCAGAATTGACTCGACAGCACCTGTCCACAACATTGATATGCCTGAGTTTTTGTCTGTATTTGCCATTTGTTTTCTACATGTCGCAAGTCTTTTTTGGCTCCTCTGTTCCTAACTCATTGCTTTTTTTGTGTTAAAAAGATCTTTTAGTATATTATTTTAATTACTGATATTCTACCTTTTTTTTAAAAGTTATTTTCTTAGTGGCCATTCTAGGAATGCAATATGCATCTTAATTTATCACAGTCTGTTTCAGATTAATACTGACTTAATCCCAGTAAAACATAGCAACTTTGCTCGATATAGTTCCATTCATACTAAATTTGTGCTATTGTCTATATATTACATCTATGTATGTTATAAACCTAACAACACTTTGTTAGTTATTGCTTTAAGCAATTTTAAAAAATTAAGATATATATGTATATATACACATGCATGCATATGTCTGTGTATATATGTATATACATGTATGCATTCACACACACACATACACACACACACACACACACACACACTCAGTCTTTTATATCTGCCCACATATTTACTATTTCCAGTGGTCTCCAGTCCCTTCTGTGGATTCAAGTTACTATCCAGTGTTATGTCCTTTCAGCTTGAAGGATGTCCCTTAGATCTTTTGTAGGGCAGGTCTGCTAGCAAGGAATTCTCCCAGTTTTTGTTCATCTGGGAATGTCTTCGTTTCACCTTCATTTCCAAAGAATCGTTTCAGTGGATTTAGAAATTTTTTTTTTTTTTCCCCAGCACTTTGACTATGTCCTCCCACTACTTCTAACCTCCACAGTTTATGATGAGAAGCCATCAGTTAGTTAAGCATATTGTTGTTCCCCTATACATGTTGTCAGATGCCACTGTGTTGATTCTGGCTCATGCCAACCCCATGTGTGCAGAGTAGAACTGCTCCATTGGAATCAGATCACCAGGCCTGTCTTCTGAGGCAATCTCTAGATGGGTTAGAACCACCAATCTTTCAGCTAGTAGTCAAGTGCTTAACCATTTATGCCATCCAGAAACTCCTCCTCTATACATAAGAAGCCATTTTTTCTTTTGCTGCTTTTAAGATTTTTTTTGTCTTTGTCTTTTAGTAATTTGACTATGATGAATCTACATGTGGATATTTGTGTTTATCCTACTTGGGCTTCAGTAATCTTCTTGGGCCTTGTCTTAGCTATTTAGTGCTGCTATAACAGAAAATACCACAAGTGGATGGCTTTCACAAACAGAAATTTATTCTCTCACAGTTTAGGAGGCTACAAGTCCGAATTCAGGGTGCCGGCTCCAGGGGAAGTCTTTCTTTCTCTGCTGGTTCTGGGGGAAAGTCCTTGTCATCAATCCTCCCCTGGTCTAGGAGCTTCTCAGTGCAGGGACCCCGGATCCAAAGGATGCATTCCCCTCCTGGTTCGTCATTCTTGGTGGTAAGAGGTCTGTTTCTCTGCTTGCTTCTTCCCTTTATTTCTCAAGATACAACCTAATCCTGTAGATTGTGTCCTGCCTCATTAACAGAACTGCCTCTAATCCTGCCTCATTAACATCATAGAGGTTAGGACTTATAACACATAGGAAAATTACATCAGATAACAAAATGGAGGACAACCACACAACACTGGGAATCATGGCCTTGCCAAGCTGACGCACATTTCTGGGGGACACAATTCAATCCATAACAGGCTTGTAAATTAATCTTTTTCAACAAATCTGAGGATTTTTCAGCTATTATTTCTTCATATTTTCAGCCCCTTTGCTCCCCCCCTTCTGTAATTTCCATCACACATATGTCGTTACGCTTGACATTGTCCTATGGGTCTCTGGGACTCTGTTCAATTTTCTTCAATCTTTTTTCTCTCTGATCTTCACATTGGATTATTTCTATTGCTTTATCTTCAAGTTCACAGACTGTTTCTTCCAACATCTTGAATCTGTAGTTGAGTGTTATATAGCAAATTTTTCATTTTGGTTACTGTACTCTTCAACTTTAGAGTTTCCATTTGGTTCTTTTTTTATAGCCTCAACTTCTCTATTGAGATTTCCTATTTGTAGAGTCACTGCCACCATATTTTGGTTTTAATTTTCTGAATATATTTATAATATCTGCTTTGAAGACCTTGTTTGCTAAATCCAACATCTGGGCTCCCTTAGAGCCAGTTTCAATTGACTATTTTTTCCTTTGATTATGGATCA